GGAACGGTGAAGAAGATTGCTCGAACGCTCGAGGTGCAGGAGAACACCATTCTGCAATGGAGTCAGTGGTTTCGAGATGTGCTAGTACAGTTCCACACTAACAACGTGGTGCAGCTGGGCGGACCGAACACCATCGTACAAGTGGACGAAACCAACATCGTTCGTCGCAAGTACAACGTCGGCCGGATCGTTCGAAAGGATTGGCTTGTCGGTGGGATCCAGGACGGGACGAAGCTCTTCTTTGTAGAGATCGTTGACAAGCGCGACGCTGCTACTCTGGAGGCGATAATCCGGAAATACGTTCGTCCTGGAGGCACCATTCGAACCGACATGTGGGGCGGATACAACAACCTCGCCAATCTAGGATATAACCACGAAGTGGTCAACCACAGCGCCAACTTCGTTGATCCGGCCACGGGAGTCCACACCCAGCGCATCGAGTGCATGTGGTCACATCTGAAGGAGAAGATTCGACGACGGCATGGTCTCAAAGGCGACCTTTGGGATGACCATTTCATCGAAGTTCTCTGGAAGTGGCAATACGACAGCGAACATCTGCTGTACGAACTGTGGCGGCTCATCTCGATCCAGTATCCCATCCGCTGAGCATGACTAACCCAACGGCCCTCTTAAGGGCCACAAGAAACGAATACTGGTCATTCATCTCAAGTGCTAGTGAATAAATAAACCAGAAATGTTTGATTTTGCTGTGAAAAAACCGCTCGAAATTCGATTTTCTAGCCTACAGTTTTTTCAGGGTTTTACTTTTCCAAAATAGCATTCCTAGGGTGGTTCATATTCATGTCCTAAACACAATACTGTTATGTTACCTCGAAGAAGTCCTCCCGGCTCAACCAGCCACGCAAGATACTATTTCGCCGCGGAGGGAGCATAGAAGAGCAGATGAGTCATCACTCGCCGCGAGCCGAGTGCCCCCCCCCCAAATACGTTAGCACCCTTTAAGTAGACCCCTGGAATCGTAGACATTCATGACTATTTTCGGTTCTGAATTGCCTGTTGTCGCCATCTACTACCTGGAACCATCGTCATTTGCGGGCGCGACGTCGCACGCGACGCCCACCAGCGCGGTGAATTACGATTCTCTTGTCACATACCCCTATCTAGTTTGATAGGGCGCCATCGAAATAACGGGACACTTCGAAGTCTTGCGGAGTAATAAAGACATTCAAAAGTATCACGTCGCACAAAGGAATTGGCAAAAATTCTCACCCACTAGTCACCCTATGACGACGCTCAATTCATGCTCTACCCTTGAGATTGCAAAATCACCTTGAAGGAATCTTCACTGGAACCAACGAGCCAAGCGGGATACTATCTCGGCCAGGAGCGAACAGATGAGCAGAAATCGTTTGCCGCATGACCCCCCAGATGGGTAAGCACCGGGTAAACCCACTCGATTTTCTGGGTGTGTACAAGAGAATCGTAAGTCACTGCGCTGTTGGGCGTCGCGTGCGACGTCGCGCCCGCAAATTACGATGGTTCCAGGTAGACAACAGGCAATTCAGAACCGAAAATAGTCATGAATGTCTACGATGACGGGGTCTACATGAAGTCCGGTGCTCCAATCGACAGGTTAACACGAGGTAAGGGCAGTTGGCACGATATTTTGGTAATTGGCCTAAAATGCTAGCAGGGCGCCATATAGTGGGGAAAATGGCGAAAAAACGAAGTGAATTGGTCAAAAACTTACGAAGGAAACATG